AGTCTTCAGACACCAGGTTTTCCAACAGATTGTGGGAATTTCGATAGGCACTTATTGTGTTCCTTTATTAGCCGGCCTGTTTTTATATTCCTCTGAAACAGTAATTATTCAATAACTTCTACATGAGGAAAAGAAGAAATCACTTGCCGTGGCCTTCAACATTCAGATACATCGACAACGTTTTATCTATACACTATAGTTACTTTCATTCGTATGTCAACACAATATATCCCAGTGAACTCTAACTAATAGATACCACAGAGTCTGCCACATCTGTTTCATTTTTGGATGTTTTGCTGACTATAAGGGCCAACAAACAACTTAACTGTATGACAAACAGGACCACTTCAGCTTTCCAGCGTCAATTTTCATTATTTCTGTAGTAATATATTCCTCTATCGCCTGCATGGTGTTTGCGTCCTTAACGTATTCGATACTCAAGAGTATGCTTCGAGTTTGAACGATTTTAAACCGAGGCAGTCTACTGACAGATAAGTTAATGTTACAGGGATTTCAACCATCTCATTTAAAGAATTCTCTGGTCATTATAATGACCTTGTTAGCAAATATAACCGATCATTGGGTCGTATTTTGGTTCAGGTTTTTCATACGAATTTTTTTTAAATTAAATTGTTTTTATACTAAATTTTACTTCGGAATATTCCATCTACCTGATCAATGCATAGGGCGCAAGGCTAATGTGAATGGCTAACAGGGGACACTTACTCTTTCTCGACACCTTATCTCACCTCTGAAATATTAAAGGTCTGTGTTTTATGCTCTGTTCTCAGATTTGTATTGTAGATTTTTTTTTATCGATCACTGTTCGTTATCTTCTCTTTTTCATGTTAATACGCCTGTTATGAAAATGTTATATTGTCTGTTTTCTCTAAGAATAGCACTCTAGCTGAATATCTTATCATAAAGTATTTGATACAGTCAGCTGGCTATTTAAACCAATATTGTATGAAAGGTGGAGCAAATAAGGGGCCCAACTCACAAATACAATAGATATGCATTTACATTCATAAAAGTCAGTGGTCTATGATAATTATGTCTTCAGATAACCCTATTTTCAGGCATTTCTTCTTAGGAAGACCAATCCTAAAAAAGTTAGGAAAAGTTCTGTATCCGAGGTAAAACGTAAAGTTCATTGAGTGATCTATTTAAAAAATCCAATACTCTTTACATGAAAAGGGTGAAGATAACGAACAGTGATCGATGAGGGTTAGGTTTTAAGAACATGGTCTTTGTGTGTAAACACACCCCAAATTTAAGAGTAACGTGCCATTCATATCTATGACCGACTTCAGGTAAAGTACATGCACACATTAAAGATCCTCAATTGACGTTATCAGATGAGCACCAACTCCAACAGGTACAGACTGATTTCTAATCTCTACAGATTTCTGTAAAGTACCAGGTAACTTTTGATGGTGCATTGTAAGTGCAGGAATAAAACACTCATCTTTTACTCTATACAACATCAGTTCTTTTTTTCAAACACATTTTCTTTCTCTTATGAATTTGAATTATGGAAACAAATTTTTCGTTATACTATAAATTCGTATCATCGGGGCCCTTGAATGGATGAATTGTTATGCATTTCTAAAGTCTATTTACATGTACTTAAATTAACAAAAGCTACATTTACAAACGGCTAATATTGGTACATTAATACCTCTACAATATTTATTATTTCTATGCATGTTTTTACACAATAAAAACAAAAAAATGCTAGTTATATAATTATTTTCCCTCATATAACTATTTAGCTGAAGATTTTTTTTGGAAAGAGAATGTTAGAGGGTCAGTAGAGGTGGTGGAATTATGTAAAGGATAATACTGGAATTATATAACTGTATAGTAAATAGGGTTAGTGTATTAGATTATTCCTTACCTGGTCATTACCTTCAATGATTGTATAGAAATTACAACTCATCTCCAGCTGTTAATAATGCTTCTTCACATCAAGGATGTCTCTGTTTTCCTGCGAAAATGAGATTTATCCAAAACAAAGATTTAGATTAATATGACGTAAAGTACACTAGTTTTGTCTGATTAATTGTCTATCTTGAAGATCTGATAATTAGTGAGATGTCATTATCAATTTCTAAAGGGGATAATCAACCGACTTCGAAAATCCTGATATGTCATGGTCATTTAATTAAAATCAAATATAATTCAACGAAAGCAAAAGTTTTAAAATGTAAAAAGCTTGAACTAAATACATGAATACGTGCAGAAAAGAATAACATCTTGTATCCACTCCAGCATGGATTCAGAAGTAAAAGTTCATGCGAAACACAGTTGCTAGAATGTGTGGATGACTTAACTAAACATCTAAAAAATGGAAAGCAAACTGATCTGCTTATCCTAGATTTTTCTAAAGCCTTTGATAAAGTGTCCCTTAGCTTACTTCTTCATAAGCTACATTACTATGGATTCAGAGGAAACTCACATCGTTGGATAGAAGTTTTCCTTTCAAACAGAAGCCAGACAGTGGTGGTTGAAGGGGAAGAGTCTGATCTGGAGTGCCCCAGGGATCATTCCTAGGCCCGAGTCTCTTCTTCTTCTACATAAATGAACTACCAGATCACCTAACCTCTACCGTCCGCCTATATTTTTTCGTTTTCATATTTTTATTTAAAGATTATAGCAATACTCTATTATGAGGGTGAAGGAATAAGCTCATCAGGTCACACATACTTAAATACTCTTTTGCATTTATTTCGCTACAAGCTAAGCATTCGGTGCATTTTTGAATAACAATGACAAATATTGCCTATCTGAATGATTATACTGCATTCGTTTCCATCTGTCGACGTGGAGGAAAGGCAATTTAGATATTTTTTTCTATTTCAAAAATCACGCAAATGCAATTTGGTTTATTTTGAATTTTTGACCTTCTAAAAGCTTATCATGTCAAAAACAACAAAAATTTCGTGATACTGTGACGTCATGGGAAGGTTTGTTCCTTTATTTAAATGATCAGGTAAGGCATCGAGGCAGACATTTAAATATTCACAGGTCGCCGTCTGAATTTTATGAATGAAATTGTCAAATCCGTGGGAGTGGGAATCACGTCGAGTATGTAAATTTACTGTTTAAATATGGTGGTGACCGGAAGCATTCCGTTTTGATTTACATTGAGAGGGTATTTGGTACACCCAAGGACACACATGCTTATCATGTTTCATGCCTATTTCTGCCATCGATGGACTCTTACAAGTGTTATTAATCATCTGAAGTGTTATTCATGGTATTAAATACTGTGTTTAACTTGCAATGTATACTATAAAAGGAAAAATATTTGGCAGAGTTTTTAATTTTACACCGAAGGTATTCATTAACCTCAAATTTACACATCAACCCCTAGAACAATTGCGATGTTCATATTCCCGGAGTTTTTTTTAAAGGATGGATAACATCGAAATATAGATTTTTTTTTTTTTAACTAATTCATTTTTTTTTAAATTTAACAAGCAGTATACGTAAATACTGCTAACATATGACGATACAGCTACCAAGGAAATATTTCCTTGTACATGTTTGATCTAAACAAAAAAAATATATGAATGTTTCTTCCTTAACAAAAATAGCTTTGTTGTGCACACAAAAACACTTAGGGATGACACAGAATTGTACGTAGTAGCCTACTTCTCTGATTTTTCCATCATCAAGAAAACACCTCATATTACGTAGTATAATATACATTACCTTTCTCCAAATCACACTCATTGATATGATTATTCTCTATGAATAAATAGGTATAATTAGTATATTAGACTGTGAATCTACGACATTAAGGTTTAAATTACTGAGATTCACGGTTGTGTTTTAATTATTTGATATAAAATCTGATCACATAAAAGACATTACGTTTACGTATCAACAAAAACAACGATTATATCTCAGTTAATACATGTACTAACAGATATTGAACCGGGATTAATGGATTAAAGTGCACATAGCTACTTGACCGTTCAAGTCTTCACAATGTTTAGGGGTGCCAATATGGCATGAAATATTTCGCATTGCAAAACAAAAACAAAATTCTTCACTTATCAATACGAAAGGGGACAAAATCAATATACACTGTTATTATAATTAAGATTTTGTAAAATAAAAAAAATAATTTAATCATCAAGTCCAGCACATGCGATGGAAATTTACATTAATTTTGTACGTGAATTAGGATGGTCCTTGTGTGTTGAATATCGATGGAGGAGATTCCCGTCCCGCTTTATTTATTTATTTATTTTTTTTTTGATCGAAATTGAAATAAAATGTCCTCATTTTTTTTTTCCTTCTTTGAAAAAAAAAAAACGGGGAACAAAACCGAGACTACATTAAATTTACAGAAAAAGGATAGTCTTTATATTTTTTTCAATAGAATTATCACAATTTATCGGTTGTGTTTTGTTGATAATTGTTGATGTTTATTGTTGATGAACACGCCATCATTTCACACCGTCCCAATATTTCACACCTGTATGGCCGTCACCTGCTTACAGAACTCCGTTAGTGACGTGTTTGACGACTGAGAATGATGGTGAAGATCTCCATTTTCAAGGTTCTCGTGTTATGACAGGTTAATATGTATGTAGACCGATACTGACATACATTCTGACGAAAACAGCTGTCAAAAACAGCTTACAGAACGTTTCTTGTTTCATTCATACGATTTTCATCCTACCATACTTCAATATATTTTATCATTAAAGGGTTGAGACAATAGAACTGTATTTTCCAATTTTCTTTTTACGGACCATCGATCAACAGATCTGCAGGTATTCATAACATTCAATTATTGCTGCTGAAACTCTAAAGGTTTCGTTCTATAATATCACACTACGTCTGGAAAAAAATTCTGATTTTTTATTCAGGGTAAATTGTCTTTAAAATTCAAATTCTCTGACGCAGTACATCTTTCGAGATTTATGCTACAAATCTTCTTGTCTTTTAGCTGTTATTTTTGAATTCGTTAAAAAGAGTTTGTCAGACATGAGGGTAGGGCGTCGTTAAAACCTCACCCCCGGGGAACTAATCAGTGATCATCTACCCCTTGTCATCATGTCCTCAAGTTCCGTAGAACTCAAGTTAGTAATCACGCCTACGTGATGACTAAAGTAAGAGAGGTAACTCTTCCACTTTATACAATGAGTATCTGGATTTTGTTAAACTGTTCAAGATTTATGTACTATATGTATTGCTATTTACAGAAATGAACAAAAACACTTAAAACAAACTGTTTTATTTTATGTTTTCAATTTTTACAAACAATACTGTTGTATGAGATTTTAAACAAAGAAAGCATAATCTATCAAATAAAAATAAAATTATCTCAACATTTTCTTATTTAAAGAGAAGATAACACATACTCTTCCTAAAAATATACATACTGTAATACAATTGAATAATTTTGTTAAGTATATATCATGATAGTCAACTGTTTATAGGCAATGTTATCTTTATATTTTGAGATCTTTTACAAAAAAGGGGGGTGGATTTTTTTCATAATTGAATAAAAACAATTAGTGGAAAAACATGTAACTACATATATATGTATATATGATTGTATATTGTATTACATGTATATGACTATATATAAATGTTAATTTACAATGTACTTTCTTTTTGCCCCATGAGGGCCCTTAATTGGTAAATAAACTAACTGAATATAGAATGTAACGTGTTGTATAAAGCAAAAGTAAACAATTTTAGAATTTAAAAAAAAAAAACCCATCATCTTTACACAATTCAATCAGAATAAATGTATTTGCCGCGAGCTTATGTGAAAACAAGATATAATTCAATTATATTTTTTCTGCCAAAATACATTAACAATAACATTGTTGTATATTCCAATGTCGGGGTGGGGTGGGGTGGGGGGGGGGGGGTGGCATCGTTAGTGATCTACTACAGGGGATGGACGGTACTATTTACTACATTTTTTTTTAAATTATTTTTTTAACCTCTTCTCAAGTGCGCCATAGTAAAGTTGTGATGCGTTTGTTGCGAGTTTTGACCCATTTTTGTGGGAATATCGAGACAACCTTCGCCCTTGGATCGTAAAATTATATCTCCAGACAATCTCCGTTATGGCAGGGCGTTCTGTTCTCTCAGCTCTACATGCCAACATTCGGTAATAGAGATAACAGGGGGATGATCCGATGTTTTTATCTTATTTAATAGTCGCAGGAACGAATCAAACGGCTGGGAAGAACAGTTTAAAAATGTCCAGGTATAAAAGAAAAAACATATGGAAAACAAAATATTTAGTGCACTCGGTGTTGAACATAGATGCACGTGAATCTGTGCCCGTGCTTATATTTTCGAAATCTTTGATAATTAAAATTCAATTTTGCCAGGGTCCATTGTTGACGTAGTTCATTTATACAACAAATAGACAAACTGATTCTTAGAGCCAGTAAATGTCGCGAATCTTTTTTAATAGAGTACATCATGTGTAAATTACATATGATGTACCAACAGTACATTGTAATATAACCTATATAATGCCAGATAAAAATTAGTTGGCATAAGTGACGCATATACACCAAAAAACAAAACAAAAACAAACAAAAAAAAAAGAAAAAAAAACATGCAAAGCTGTCGAATACTAAGTATATTTAGTGTTCCTTAAGTACTTTCTATAATATTCATGACCATATACTTATAATTAATATTATTATGAAAAAAGGAAGCAGGGATGATTGAAACAAATAAAAGGATTATTACAAGGAATCTGTTTATAAAAGTCCTACAGAAAAAAAAAACAGATGTAAGGGACAGGTCTATTTCCTAATCAGCTTAATTTTCCGTGTTTACAGTTGTTGTTTTTTTTTAATACACTCGCACTGAGCAACTTTTCCTGGCAATAAAAAACATGAAATCCAAAAGTTTGTCATAGGATAAATAGTTTCTGTTTCTGCAGCTTAGAGATTGGTTAACCATCAAAAAGAAGAAAAATTGGCTCAGAAATTGAGAATCAACAAATCTCGCATCGCTCGACTGCACTTCAGGAAACAGACACCGGGCGGATCCAGAAAGCAGTGAATGCACAAGACGCACGTGTTGCATTCTATATGTGACCGACATTATTTTCCAGTCAATCCTATAAGTCCAAAATTAATTTATTACAGGCAATAGGGAATCTCTGGTATAAGGGTTCATCAAAGCATATACTGTAGTGCCTTTACCCGGGTAATGTTTAAGGTTCCCACTAGAGCGCAGCAGATGAGGAGGGAAGGGGGGTAGGGGTGGGGGCACTGTGACTTTATCCAGAAGCTGGACATTCTCTCCTGAGTTTCCTAATGATGTCCCATCTCAAAGAAATTCAATTTAAACTTTGTATATCTATGTCATTTACAGTATACTTAATAGTTTTTTAATATGGTGTCTTCAGAGCAGAAATCATAACAGGGCTATAGATTTAAGTGCTTATCTTTGCATATTTGTAACACCTGAATAAACTTAGGAGATAATATTTCATCTAATTTAGAACAGAAAATTATGCTAAAAGTGATTGTTATAAATTCCACTACTGACGTTAAAGAAGCAGAACTGAGATGTAGTCTATATACACAGAGTATAGATCCAGCAGGAACTAAAGGGCAAAGACAGGGCAATGATATTATTTACTCCAGGAGAGAGAGAGAGGGGGAAATAAGTGCAAGTCATGAACAGGCAAATAGAAAACAGATAAAGATGGACACCACTGCCAGACCAGTGCAAAACGGACGTTAGTTATGAATATAATCAGATCCTGTGTTAACTGTGGGTCGACACAAGAAGTCTTTTTTTTTAATTATTGTTTTATTTCCCTCTGGGTTTTTTTTTTTTTCGTTACTTGTAAAATAAGGAAATACAAACTTCATATAAGGAATTTAAAAAAAAGTGATTGCAAAATTTAAGGTTGTTATTTAATATTTTAGATTATCTTTTGTGCAATTGGCCAAAAGTATGCAAAAGGGAAAAGCAATATTTAATTCCTTCATGTATATTTCCTCAGAGAGAGAGGGAGAGGGGGAAGGGGGTGCTATAACAGAATTAATACGTACAAAAAAATACATTTTAATTAATCAGGAGAAACAGCATTTTATGAAAGACATGCTGATAACTAGAACTCTAACCATATACCATGAGGGGAAAAATCGAAATCGTGATTTCTACACGAGGACACGGAGAATGACAGAACAAGGGTATTTTTGTTTGGACTTTTATTTCTCCAGTTTATATTTATAACTTGCCTCCTCCTGATTTATTAAAAAAATTAAAGGCATCGAAAGTGAATGATCATTGACTTAATTAAATTATAAATTCCTTATTAAAAGATTTAGAACTGTCAATGGCAGTTCTGTGACATTTCAGACAAGAAAAAATATGGCCTTTGAAAGGTTTTAATAATCTTTATATTTTAGCTGAAAGCCGAACATTTTAAAGAAAGCTATTTTCAGTTACAAATCTAAAAGTTGATATAACAATGAAATGGGACATCATCACCCCCCCCCCAGTCATACCAGAGTGAAGGAGAGAGGAAAGAAAGCATTTAGTACCTTTATAGTACAAGTGCCCTGATATTGTTACATGTATTTTAAATTTGTTCCTGTCTGTAACCTTCTTACGTAGAACACCATAGTATGCATTTTTCTCGTGTTCAACATTTTTATTTCTTCCTTTTCAACACACAATTTTGGTGTCACTGAGTACTAAGCCACGAGAAAACTCTCAGGACAATGATTACACGCGTGGGGTCAAAGAGTTTGCAACTCCCCACAGTAACAAACATTAGGATCTGTCCGCTAGTAAATAATCTGACAATAGAATTACTACCTGCATAAATCTCAGGTGATATGCGTTAAATCGCTTCACCGACATGGAAACATAGTAAACACATGCACTTGTAAACAACAACAACATATGGCTGTGAATAATGTCAGTCAAACGGATTAAGCCGTCCCTGCTTCCTTCTGATTGGTCTAGACGATCTGCTCAGATGTGTCATAAGGTCAAAGTGAGTCAGAGGTCTGCTATATAAGCCTCGCTCGATTTAAATACTACAGAAATAATAATTGTATGGTGGGATTGTTGAAGTTATATGATACAGTGACATTATGAAAATGGTCGTAGGAATGCAGTCTTGTGTATGTAATGGCATTCCTATCAAAAGGAAAGACGATGGACTAGAAGTGAAATCGGGGAATTTATTGTTGATTCAGTCACATCAGGGTAGATCAGTGAGGGTGCCGGTACACGTTAGGGTGTATCAGAGCTGCTTTGAACATTACGCAATCGTCAATAGAGACTGCAAATTCACGAACAAAGGCATCTTTGTGAACTTGAAGAATTCCACGGTGATAAGAACAGAGACGAGGGAATGTGAATTCCTTATGGTCCCAGATAACGTGGAGGGGACCGGATACACATTTCAGGCGCGAAACGCGACAGAGGCCGAGGATTGGACAGAGGTGTTACGTCCGAGTGTTTCCCAGGGTTCCCCTACATCCGGTCACCCCTCCCCGAGCCTGTCCCCCGTGATCCCCCGTATGCCTCTGATGCCCACTCTCGCAGAAGAAGAGGAAAGCTGACCTCGTGTGACCTCTTTGAGTGAACTCGGTCAGTGAGACGTTTATTTACTTGCCTTCTGCAGATTCTGTTTATCAACATGTTTACAGACTGTAGTGTGAAGCTGTCATTGAATGACAGCAAGTTGTCTTCAGACATTCACACCCTGACTTGTTTACATGAATTATATGGAGGTATATATTGTGATCCTGTAATACCGTAACCTTCGTCGAGGCGCGTAAGATCTATGTCAACTAGATGCATGTTGCCAGTACGTGCAGGATTCCAGTTTTATCCGGTCCATTGGGTCTGGAATGTAACAAATTCCAAAGACAAAAGCTAAAGCTGTGATATGACTCTAATTTAATTTTTTATTGTTATGTTGTGTGATTTGTGCAATACAGTTTTTAATGTTTATGTAATGTGTGCAATATTTGTTCATTAAACTTGGAAAAATAATGTTTCCTATTTTCTCTCATTTGATTATCAATTATACTGATTATTCTATACGACATATATATCTCTGAAAGGTGTTGAAGAACACCTACGTACTCCAGTGACTTTAGTCATACCCTTTAGATGTTATATAGATCTGTATCATCCACTCTCCCTGGGAGAGTGGACAAGGTTACGCTAATTACCGTAAGATATGGTATTATCCGATATGTGATTGATCTGGTGTATTTATCTGTATTAATGAACAGCCCACATGAGATTGGAATCTATTTATGGAATCATCATTTAGTAATGGGTCGATTTTTAAATTCCGTCGATTCATTCCACACAAAGAATGCGTAGGGAACGTCAACCCCCAAGATAATGAACAAAAAATCGATAAGTCAACTCTAAAAAATCAAATGTCAGCAAAGTACGAATAAGATTACTTATGTCTAATGTGTACATGGAGTACCAAGCGGACCGAGTTTATGTGTCCTTGAACTGCAACACACGAAACAGCAGCGTTCACAATTTGAGATGTCAAAACAGGAACTACTTTACATTACACGATTGCATGACTAATGTCTCCTTATACGGAGAATATTGTGCCTCTCTGCAGATAAGGTATTCCTAGATACTAGTAAGCTCATCTGAATTCAACTTAATGGCCTGTGAAATTCGATTTAACTGATGTTCAAAGAATCCTTATAATGTACCATTGTTAACTTATTTATGGTTCAAACATTAATTAGACATCGAAAAGGATATTAATTTTAAAGTGTTTTGGTTTTTTTTAAATATGCAAGGAAAATTTAAGGGCATCATGACAATTATGTACCGTTATTACACAAATTTATTGTTTCTATATAGTCACTGCTCTACTTGATCAACTGTATTATATGATTACACGTTATTGTACCCCATGTACATGTATCATGTATGGTACATGGTTTCGGTATATGTAAAGAAAATTACGTCAAGGTACCATTTATATATCCAATATATCCATATGTAGATAATACACTTACTCTCCTTATTACTGTATTGATATAAATGTAATAATGTAATAACACGTACCCTCCTTGAGTGAAAGATATTTTATATTTATTTAAAAAGAAAATTACGTTAAGGTACCATTTATATTTCCATATAAATGTAATAATACTAACCCTCCTTGATTCGTATATTGATATAAAAATGTGAAAAACACTAACTTGATTTGTATATTGATACATGTATGAATGTAATAATGTAATAACACTAACCCTCCTTGATTTCTATATTGATACATGTATGAATGTAATAATGTAATAACACTAACCCTCCTTGATTTCTATATTGATACATGTATGAATGTAATAATGTAATAACACTAACCCTCCTTGATATGAATATGCTTTTATCATAAAGCTTCAAAATGAAAACATGGAAGCTTAATTTGCTCAAAACTAACAGCTTTTTCTGTGACTTCTTGGGAGATCTAGAATCTCCTCAACTTCACAGTGAAAGTCAATCCAGATGTGATCCTTGTTTTTGCACTTCGTTAACAAGGCTAGAGTAATTATTACAAGAAAAATGTCAAATAGGTAATCTGTTTCCTCCAGAAACTTCAAGCTTATGAACATTACTCATAAATACTGTATATGCTTCATTAAAACTGGGTTTTTAGATCAAAGCTGGCCGAGTTTTTACCTCCGTACAATTTCTGAAGCAGACGTCGTAACCTTGACGTGACTCATAACAGATGAAAATCCCAGAGAAACGCGCCAACGAAATCTGCGTCTGATCCCCTCAATACACAGAGGAATCTGTTCAAATCTGATATGGAGTAAAATTATATTTATATCTATATAGCAGCCAAGTCTGTCTGTACAATGCAAACTTTCAAGTTTTTTAAGTACGTGGTTGAAATGATAAATACCATATCTATAAATTGGCATATATTCTGCAATATGTCGTTCAATATTTTACTAAAAAATAACTTTATAATTTATAAAAATTTAATCTGTGGAATTCGGTCAGAATGTGAATTTCAGTTGAGGAGAATATATTCTTCATACTTTTAAAAGTAAACAGGACATAACAATACTCTTCTCGGATATGTCGCTGTTACTAGCAGGAAGAGGTCTCTTTCCGTGAAGTGTATTTGTTATCATAAAGGTTCCATTCTACATTACATGTACTAGAAGTATTAAAGTTTCCTTATCAAGAACACGTTGCTTTACCGGGTCCCCTGAACTCTTTAACACATTAATACAATGTTGTTGTTAGAGGGAGGTTGTTTTATATGATAAGTTGTTTTCGATATCTGCTTCGTCGGGCTTTAGGTGCAGATGTATCGGGAACTGTGTCCTGTACAACTTTTCCTGTTTAGCTTGTCGAATCGTGATTAAACCATCAAAAATGTTTTATCTGTAAAGGGAAAGATCTACACTTATTTATAAATGCGTCATCATTTTTACAACAAAATAATCTGCACCAAAATATACACGAAAACGAAATTATCAAAAGATGAATATATTCTTCCTGAAAGTTTCGACCTGATGGTTCTATAGCTCGGGGTTCTGCCAGGAATTCAGGATAAAACATTGGTGATTATGATAAATGAACATGTAGCAGTAGTACATGTAAGATATTATGTTTTGGTCAATCTTTTTGATGGACAATTAAATCTTAAGATGCCAGCCACAGTACATGTACATTATGTTACATGCAATATTAGAGACTCATTCCCTATAGGGATGAAATTTATTCGCATAATAAATATAAACGACTTAAAATTTTCTCTATTTGTTAATCTCTCTCTCTCTCTCTCTCAATATTTTTTTCCTTCTAAAAACTAATCCAGTTTGAAAACAAATACAGTTTCCTTAACTGGTGCTGTTCTCATTGGTGCTGTTTTGCAAGGTTTTTCTTTTTCACTTAAACAACCAGTTTATAACCAAAACAAGGAGGAAAACACGCGAGAAAGATAACAATACGTTTGTTTAACGTGAAACAAGCCGTCAGTCGCGACGGTCCGTCTGGGGGGTTTGCCACAGATTTACCTGCATTCGGCGTGTAACTGTTGACCTTACACAAAACACTGCATCCAATCACAATGCAATGTTATTTCCCCTTTCTCTTTTTTTTATATGATACGTTTTATTAACCCCAATGAATGCTACACAGACACTATGTCATGTAGTGTCATCCAAGATTTGAGAATTAAACTCAATGTCATCACTTTTAAAAGAAATATATGTGTCACATTAATTAAATCTTTTCTCGGCATTTTAAAACGAACTGGCGCCGATGAAAACTTACGCAATGGTCATGATCTGTCCTGTATCACCATCAAGTTACAAGTAACTGGTTGAAAAGGACAAAAGTCACGTGTCGGATATATATATACCGTTTATCCGATGTTTATTGGTAAACATGGGCTTTATTTACTTAGTACACTTGTATCTTATCTATCAACCTGGCTTCTGCATAGCACAAGCACATTAATGTCTCGGAGATTAATACTTTACACATTTTTTTTCACCGAGAGTCAGAAATGTGCCTATTCATTTTTTTTATCTTGGGGGGAAAATGGGGGGGGGGGGGGTAAAGGAATAAGACAACCAATGTCATGGAAGCTGTGCATGCAGCGAAATAAAACCTTTAATTTTTTTAGCTATTGGGATTCCACTTACTCACAGTTACAATGCAGAAAAACTGCGTTCATATAATTATTAATATCACCATATATATCTAAATTTAACATTAAATCTGATCTAACAATACAGGCGCCTACTGAATGATCGGTAAGGTCAGTGACCAAAACTTACCATAAATAAAGAAAATATATTACTTCGTCTTACAGAAGTTCTAGACGTATAGCCTCCTGTAATCGCTGCTTAATTCCGCTTAATTCAAGGAATTTAGATATATTAATTTATAACTCTGTGTTGCTTTTAGGAGGAATAATCATCTATAATGACCGATAACTATAAAATTGATAAAAACTTAAATGAAAATTTCTGTTTTCAACAATGATTTGTACAATTTTGACTCCCGTGACGTATGTTGAACTACAAGTTGCTTTTATTATATTCTTCTGTTATAGAAGATATAAATGATTACAGAAAAAAAATGTATGTTAGTGGCCTGAACGTCGTTTTCCCTCTGAACATTTTAAAACATAGATGTAAGTAGTGAAACAAAGCCCATGAAAGAATACACTGACAAAAATTTTTGTTGTAATACTGATTTTTTTAAAGGCGGTTAGTTTTAGATTTCACATGCTAGCATGCTCAGATTCTATTAAGTATAACATGAAAAAAATTACAAGGTTTGTAGCCGAATTCCAAAGAAAGAATGCATATCATTTTTATTCATTTTTAATGGATATAATATTTCACGGCGTTTTGAGAAAACAAAGCCGGCGATATAAAATAAAAAATTATGCCTGCAGTTTTGGCTGACGCTAGGCACGGCTAAAACTGGAATAAATTAGTGAAGTATGATGTTCTCCCTATATCTGAGGTTTTTGGTTGTACATGTAGTAAAAACGTCAACTTATATGCTGAGGGGTTTACATGTTCAGGTATAGCTGCATCTAATTCACAGTGTCAAGCTCTGACCTATTGTCATCTATATCTGCTAGATAAATTTCATCTATCATGTATTTATTATGTACTTTGAAAAGCCATTTTAATAAATTGATCGGATATGTATTTCTACCACCATTCATATTCACCTTCTTAAGAATAGATATACCATTTCATCTGCCCTTTTTACACAATGGAATATTTACCTACAAGTATGGATCATCTGTATGTGTAGTGCTTTTGCTAATCACTTGAAATGTTCACTATACACTAAAGTGATCTAGATACACGTGTCGTCCCACTGAGTGACCTTGATGAAGGTAAACACTGTCAATACACCGATAATTTTACTGTCCCAAATTCATCTCTCTCTCTCTCTCTCTCTCTCTCTCTCTCTCTCTCTCTCGACTACTCTTTGTTCTTACTTGAAAAATTTAAAAGTAA